CCAAACACGAGGAATGTGGCACGTTTCATTCTCAAAGTGATGAAACGTGTTGCATTTCTTGGTCGCCAACCCTCTTGATCATGCATGATAGAGGTAGAGGCTCTTATGTGTTGTTTGTGCATTCAATAACATTGTGCGAGTTTGGCTCTTTGGCCATCATGCATTGAGATGCGTGATTAGTGGCTTGAGAGTCGAGTACTACGCTCCTTTGAGCTTGAGAAATGATACGGAGAGTAGTTGCACACACATTTCCTTGTAAATGCATTGTTGTGCCTTTGTTGATCTCTGTTGCAGCAAAGTTGGGATTCTGGAAAGGGAAGTGGCCGGCTGGCCACTTGCAGCAAAATTTTCCAAAATGCTCCTGTTTCGAGGCAGATGCAAACTGAAAGTGTGTTCGATGCTCTGAGGTCACTGCGAGTGCAAACAGAGACAACTCATGGCAAAGCAATGCATTTCCGGGCGAAGCAACCCGAGCATGCATGTTTCCCATCCCTCGAGGCCATTTTAACTGCTTTACTTAGTTAGTTAATTTTCCGGTTTTCTATAATTAATTAGTCAATGTGTTTAGCTAATTCAATTCATCTTTGTAATATTCTAATTAGCTTAGATGATCTAATTATTCAATTTGGGCTGTAATATTCTAAATTAGCTTAGCATAGCAAGTTTTCAATTCGGCTTGTAATTAATTAGTTAAGTTAGTTAATTAATTGGTTTGTAATAAGTAGCTTAGCTTAGATTAGCTTAGCTTATTTATTCAGACCCTCCGTCGCGAGGGCACAATGTTGTAATAAGGGTGCGTGTGTGTGTGTATGTCTTCCAACCCCACTTCTTTCACCCTTTTACTTAACCACTTTCGATGCTTAGTTTTAGGGCATTATTTCAATTAGCACACCTTATTCTTTGCATGTTTGCATCATTCATTTGTCTTGCATGCACCGGGCTCAGCGCATCATTCAAACCGCATTGTATTTCAATACACTTACTTGAATACGTGTTTCAAAGCATGTTATCAAGTGTTGCATTCATATGCCATCTTAGATAGCTGTGGGGGCCGAGTAATGGGGGTCGTAAATAAGCCGAGTATATAAACTTGGGGAACTGGGATACATGTATAGTATTCGGCTTCATCGCTCATCCAAATCATACCCTATTCAGTCAAATAGCCGAATAAGGCAAGGGCCGAGTAAAAAGCAATCTGCTACAAAGGAAGCCGAATGACGATCAGAAACTGGGCCTAATCCCGAGGCCTAAGAGAGAAAGGATATAAATAGAAGAATATCAGCCAGTAAAAGGTATGTGAGAACTACTGTGCTTAACTTAGAATATAAGTAATCTTGAGTGTAGAGACTGACTTGCCCATCGGAGTGCTAATTCCGGCACCCCCGACCGGAGTGTTTATTCCTTTTTAGGTGACCAGAAGAGGATCGATAGCGTCCTCCAGGATCAGAAGAGTATTTCGAAACCACTTCCCCACAATTGGCGCCGTCTGTGGGAATACTCAAACACATCCATGGCGGGCGTAACGGAAGACCCTCCGATAGTCACTGATGAAACCACGCAGAGAGACGACCTCACTCCAACAAACATGCTTGGACCGGAGACTATCACCGCAAGACGTGCCTTGAACTTCGCCTCACCGTCGACTTCGGAGCATGAGACAATGCAGGCGATCATGGAACAAGCAAAGCAAGATAAATAGAGGTTGGAGAACATGATCACTGAGAACGGACGTCTTCGTGAAGATTTGGCCTTGTAAGTGGCGAAGTCCAAACAAGCTGTACGCCTAAATCCGGAACGATCTCCGAAGGCAGATGGTCGACGACCTCGAGCCCGACAAGATGACACCAATAGTAACTCCAACTCATTATCCCTAGAGCCCAGGGGCGACCTGAAACCACCAGTTCTTCTAATGAAAGTCCTCGTATAAGGTAGAAGCGAAGAAGGAACAGTTCGAACGAAGATCAACACGATCCCTTCGTACGACGGATTGCAAAGGTAGTGCTACCCAAGAAATTCAAAGCACCGTCATTCACCTTGTACTATGGTAAATCAGACCCCACCGACCACATTTGCCACTACAAGCAAGCCATGACATTGCATGCAGACAACGAGGCCCTCATATGCCGAATATTTCCCAGCAGTTTAGGACCATTGGCTGTCATGTGGTATTATAAACTAGAACCGGCTTCGATCAGAACCTTCCACCAATTACAGAAATCCTTCAGGACCAGATTCATCACCAACGAGGTCCAGCCAAAACAAGCTGACTCTCTTTGGGCAATGCAAGTCTTGCCAGGAGAAACACTCTAAGAGCATATTCGACGCGATATTGGGAATGCTTTAATCTTGTTGATGACGCTTGCAACGACTCTATGGCCATCACTGCCTTCAAAATGGGATTACATCTAGATAGTGCCCTCCGCAGTTCCTTGACAAGAAAACTCCCCAAAACAGTCTGGGGGTTGATAAGGAAAGTAGAGAAATACTGCAAAGTGGAAGATGATGCCTTGCGGGTTAAGGCCGGGCACATGGCCAACAAAACGGCCCCTCCTGAAATTGCTCAACCAATAAGTTCTGTACCACCTCAGAGCCCTGAACCATGACAGAGGGCTAAACGAGACAAGAGACGGGACTCTCGCCGATCAAGCGATCAATGCTCACACCGAGAAAATGAGCAACTGCAAGTTGATAGTAGGCACACAAAGCGCGCCGATAAGAAATATACGGAGCTGTCAATGCCAATCAGCTCGGTTATGTCCAAAATCCAACATCTTCCATTCTTCAAATGGCAGTCCAAAATGGTGGGACCTCCTGACACGAGAAGGTGGGACAGGCGGTGTGAATATCACAAAGATCACGGTCATGATACGGATAGTTGCTATGCTTTGAAAGACCACCTTGAGGAATTGGTGCAAGATGGTCGGCTCTAGCAACATGTCCGAAAGAGCACAATCAAAACAGTTGCCCTTCGGCAGGATTCACCTTCGCTTGGCATCATTCATATGATATACAGCCTTCCAACACCTCTTACCGTACAAGCAATTCAGTCAACCCCTCGGAGGCAACGCTCACCAACGAAACGGCCCCACAAAGCTCCGAGTATTATCATCGACGATTCCGATCTTATCGGCATAACACTCCCCCACATTGATCCATTGGTCATTGAACTATACGTAAACCGATTTACCGTTGAACGCGCCCTCATAGACCACGGGAGCACTTCAGAGGTTATGTATTCCGAGACCTTCATCAAACTTGACTTCAATGAATCAGACTTGTCTCCGGCTCCTTATCCATTATTCGGCTTCACCGCAAATCTAGAGTACCCGCTGGGGAAAATCACACTACCCGTTCGAGTGGGCTCCCAAACAATGGATGTGGAATTCCTGGTCGTCAAGCTCCCTTAGCCGTATAATCTCATCATGGGGCGAACTTGGTTGCATACTATTCAGGCCGTGCCAAGCAACTATCATCAACTGCTACGCTTCCCGACCGAACACCCACACAAGCATGTTATCTCCTTTCTGGAAAGACAACAATGAAGTCGCAGGTCAACTCCACTGGTGTGCCGAATCGAAGTAGCCTCGACGATGTTGGACGGCTCCCTAGCGAAAAGCCACGGAAACCCTAGGGGATACTAGCAGCAGCTTGCCAAGTCGTATAATCAGCGCGTTCAGCTGCGTCGCTACACACTGGGAGAGTTGATCTTGAAGGTACTTCTGGATGACAAGAAACCGGTTGATGGAAAGTTGGGTCCTAACTGAGACGGCCATTATCGGATAGATTCCATATCGGCTCAGAAATATGTCAGGGAGGAGTCGGCCACGGCCCCAGAATTCGACGCACCTACGAAAATTCTGTCATTAAACCCGACTTATGGGGATTGATCCTAGTTCTAAATGATTCACCATGTACACATTCCACTTTTGCAATGCAAGGATTCTTGTTGAAAAGTTATAATCCCACCCACTGCGAAATCTAGTTAAAAAGTTCTCCGATGGAAAAAAGCCTCCGGATTCGGAGCCCCCTCGGCGCATGATGCCTTTGGGCCAAAAAAGCCTCCGGATTCGGAGCGCCCTTCGTGGATATCACGATTAGCCAAAAAGCCTCCGGATTCGGAACCCCCTTGGCGCATGACGCCTTTGGGCCAAAAAAGCCTCTGGATTCGGAGCGCCATTCGTGGATATCACAATTGGCCAAAAAGCCTTTGGATTCGAAGCCCTCTCAGCGCATGACGCCTTTGGGCCGAAAAAGCCTCCGGATTCAGAGCGCCCTTCATGGATATCACGATTGGCCAAAAAGCCTCCAAATTCGGAGCCCCCTCGGCGCATGACGCCTTTGGGCCAAAAAAGCCTCCGGATTCGGAGCGCCCTTCGTGGATATCATGATTGGCCAAAAAGTCTATGGATTTGGAGCCCCCTCGGTGGATGACGCCTTTGGGCGAAAAAAGCCTCCGGATTCGGAGCGCCCTTTGTGAATATCACAATTGGCCAAAAAGCCTCCGAATTCGGAGCCCCTCAGCGCATGACATTTTTGGGCCGAAAAAGCCTCCGGATTCGGAGCGCCCTTCGTGGATATCACGATTGGCCAAAAAGCCTCCGGATTCAAAGCCCCCTCGGCGCATGATGCCTTTGGACAAAAAAAGCCTCCGGATTCGGAGCGCCCTTCGTGGATCTCACAATTGGCCAAAAAGCCTCCAAATTTGGCGGCCAACAAAGCCTCAAGGGCCGAGTAATATTCCGAATTCGGAACGCCCCTCCAGAACGAAAAAACATTTACACATCAAAGCAGGGATATCGAAGTTGAGCCGACACAACCGCATGAACAGAACAAAATGTGCCAACATTCGAAATAAGATGCTTAATTAAGCATATAAAAATTCAGAATGAGATATAAACTTTTAAAATGAAACGTTTTATTCAATTAAACAGTAATTACAAAAAATGCAATCTGCGTTCGAGCATTACAATATCTATTTTCATACGGCGTCACCTTCGTTCTCACCCTCTCAACATCGAGGGCGAAGAAGAGGTCGCGTTGGTACAGCGGCAGCGCCGAATCAACGCCCGCTGCTCAGAGAGCATCCGTAGCTTGAAATGTTTTGATCTGACCATGCTTAAATCCACGACGTTCACACTGGCGAGACAATCACCCTCGAGGTGGAGAGCTTTGACACCATAGACAACGTCAAAGCCAAGATCCCGGACAAGAAAGGAATTCCCCGCAAAAATAGTAAAACTCAACGGTCGCGATGCTACATCAGCCTCATTTCTCGGTCGCGGTTGCGGAGAGCTTCCCCGTTGCTGCTTCTCTCTTAGGGGTGATCTGCTTCGACGACTTAGAGGCTGACCTTTTTCCCATTCTTTGAACGCCCTACCTCTCGCACGGGTGGGTTCTCTGCTACGATTCATTGCAGCATCAAGCTTAGCCAAAGTTCGAGCTTCTCCTTTGCTAATTGAAGAAAACTCCATTTGACATTCACTTATCTAGCCTCACGCAACAAAATTATATTAAATCGAGTCTGAACGCAGTAAGTGAAGTTACTGGCGCGAAGAGTCCGAGGCAATTTATTTCTAACCCTTGCAGTGACCCCGAGGTGATTTCATTAACACCGAACTCCAAAAGATGGACGCCGATCGATATTGGCCACAGCCACTCCATGTACTAATTTTCAGCTTTTTGGAGTTAAAATGGCCTAACTATCTGAGCGGTAATTATAGATGGGCTGGCAGTCTCCGGATTCGGAGCCCCTAGTGCATAACACCTTTGGGCCGATTAAGCCTCAAAATTCGGAGCCTCATTGGCACATGACGCGTTCGGGCCGATAAAAGCCTCCGAATTCGGAGCCTCATCAGTGCATTGACCGTGCGTGACATGTATGCCGAATATATATTTAATGAAGAATGCTCATGACAAGCCGGCATATAACTGTTCGAAATTAAATGCCCAGTTGTCTCGGGCCGGTCAATGTTTATACAATGAAACACATGCAAACACGTGTGCCGAGTGAAAATTACAATAAAACATTGAAAATATAATCTTTTTATTTGACCAACCAATAGTTACATAATTTTAGATGCAATCCACGTTTGAACATTACAACGAATTTTTTATGCGGCGTTGCCCTCATCCTCGCTCTACTCAACCTCAAAGGCAGAAAACGGAAAATGTTTCGTCGGTAGAGTGGCGATGCCGAATCAATGCCCGACACTCAGAGAACTTCCGCGGCTTGAGATGCCTTGATCTAACCATGCTTAAAACCGCGATTCTCACATCGGCAGACCAACCTTCATTTTCTCGATCCCAACCTTCCGACTAGCATGGAAGCCTTGCTCAACCCTTGGTCCTCGCATTTTCTATGGCAAACATGCTTGCCGTATCCCGGTCGGCGATGGCATGACTCAATAGCCGCTGGGTCACCCTCTCCTCCACAATCGGGTTATATCGACCCGCCGCGTGTGGCTCGACGGCTTTAGCCTTCCTAAGCTCACTAAGCTCACGTTTGGCTTTCTTCGCACGAGCCTACGAACTACGGATCCATTCGCGCATTTTCTCTATCTCCCGCCGCGCGGCGCGCAGGCGCATGCCGACTTCGTAGGCGGTGTACAGCCCCTTCACCGCCTCATGAATACCTTCTCGAAACACTTCGAAATCTGGTCGTCCAACCATCGATTGTTGGACTTCCGATGGAAAGATTTGTGAAGCGAACTCGACCGCTACACCTGGATCATTAACGATGGAATCTACCTCAGGCATCGGTTTATTCCCCACGGACACCGCAAAACTCAATGGTCGTGGCGTCGCGTCTGGTTCATTCTTTGGTCATGGTCACATGGAGCTTCCCTATTGCTACTTCTCTCTTCGGGGTGATCTGCTTCGACGGCTTAGAGGTTGACGTTTTTCCCTTTCCTTGGACGTCCTTCCTCCCGTGCGCGTAGGCTTGCTACTGCGATTCATCGTAGTATCTAGCTCAGTCAGCATTCGTCCTTCTCCTCTGTTGTTGAAAACAGTCTGTTTGACATTCGCCCTCGCCCCATGCTAGTTCAAATCGAGTCTAAATAAAAATAAGTGGACTCACTGGCGCGAACTCACCCCATTTATTCATACGTATGCAGCACCCCTGAGGCGACATCATTAATGCCAAACGCCAGAAGCCCGACGCCGATAGATGTAGAACTAGGCCTAGTCGGCTAACAAAGCTCGTGCACTGGCTGGGGCAAGGGCAGATTAATTAATCTGGTCGGCCAAATATTGAAGCCCGATGCTGATAGATGTATGTCGCAGCCATTCCACGAACTGGGGCAAGGGCACAGTGATTAATCTGATCGACTAAGTGTTTATGCCTAATGCCGATCAATACTTGGTATTAAAAACAAAGTGTAGCCATTTTGCAATCAACAGCAATATCATTCGTCAATAACAAAAGCTAGCACAGATAACAGCAAGGCAAAAAAGGAAATTTTCATTAGGAAATTGGGCATAAATTGTAGCCATTTTACACATGAAAATTACCAAACAAAAAGCTGTAAAAATACATTCGAAAACCCCCAAAACAGCAAGCAAAAAAGTTGTCGCCCAAATTAATCCTCGGAGTCAGACTCCAGCGGCTCAATATCCACTTGCTCGTATGGAATTGGCATAGCCAATGTCACATCAGCCGTAGCAAGGGGTTTGAGCCAACCATGTTTGAATCCTCGATTTTCAAATTTGGACACTTCGTCTACATATTTAGCAAGGGCAGCACTTTTCTCAGCCTGCAATGCCTTAGAAGCCTTCGAGTCAGCCGCTTCCTTCGCCTTCTTTGCTTCCTCCAACTCAGCCTCCAGTTTGGAGACCGCCTCCTGGGCCAATTTTAGCACCCCCTCGCTCGCGTCCGCCCTTCTCTCGGCGGCTAATCTCAGTTGCTCCGTATTTCGTGCCCTCTCCATCTTAGATTCGACTCGCGCGCCTTCCATCTTCGACCTTAAAGCCTTAAACTCGGCCCTGCTCCTTTGGCCCTCAACTTCCGTTTGAAGACGGCCGAGCTGTTCGATGGCGTCACGATAGCGACGGCCCATCTCCGTTATCCTTCTGACTGTTTGCAAAACAGGAAGTTAAGACCAAAATAGTACTTGTATAAAGTGAAAAAACAAAGTCAAGATTTATACGAAAAGTGCCGATTGCGCGGCCAATGCTATTGAAACCAGATCCGGCTCTGCCCAGAAAGCCGTCTTGTCAGCCGGCAGTGAAACGAATGTAGCCATGCTAAGCGCGACCGCTGCATCTTTAATTATCGAAGCATCAGAAGGGATCAGTGTGTTTTTTTATCTTCGGTTGAATAACGAAAGGCACAATCACATTTGATTCCTCTAAATGAGGTCGTTTGTCGGCGCGGTTACCTTTTGAGCCGGCCTCAACTTCGGCAGAGCGCTTCCCGGCCCTTTCTTTAGTCTCTCGATCGGCCTGCACAACCAACTCAGCCTCGGCACTTTGTATTTCTGCTGTCCCCTCCTCAATAACAGGCAAGGCGGGCTGAGATTCGCTAACAGGTAGGGAGGGTTGAGTTTCAGTAGCAGGAGGCACTCCGGGTCGAATAGCCTCTGCCTTTCGTCGTGCTGCCATCCTTTCTGCGTTCGCCTTTTTGGCAAGTTGTGTGAGGCTTAACCCAGCCATATCTTCGGGGTAAGCACTAAGAAGGTCCTCCAGACCGTGAAAAATGTCGTCGGGTGGAAGGTCCTCTCGGCCCGAAGTGGACGGAGGGTTGGCTGAGTTGAGGCGGCTTCCTCAAAGGCTAACTGCAAAGCCTTGTCTTCGGTTTCGAACTGATCGGACTCGGCAACCTCAGCTACTGGTCGTTCCGAATCGGACCCCCCAAGACCGACTTGCCTCAAATTCTTGAAATCGGTCAGGATAAGGGCGGTAAGAAACTCATCACCCCTCGGAACTGGGATGTTCTCCATCGCCAATAAGGTCGTACAGGTCGGCTTGTAGCGGAGAAGAACGTGGGCCGCCCTCCCCTGTTTTTGAAGATTCGGCCGGCCGAAATATCTGAGCGCAACCTTGATTTTTGAAAGAACGGCGTCGTTGATTGAAGTCAGGACTTTCTTCAAATCGTTCCATGCACAAGCAAAGCCATGAGGTCTCGGAAACGAAGCTTTATGAATATAACAATAAATAAATAAAAGAAGCTACACGGCCACCAGGTTCATCCCTCCGTCTAGGAATTGGATTGAGGCGATCCTCGCCTTCGTCGAATTCCCAATTACCTTGGACAACGACCATAACATCATCGACTCGCTTCCCAGAGCTGGAAAGCATAGTCACTAGTTGTCGGTGTCTTTGGCCCTAAGGAAATAACGGCCGTGCCGACCAGAAGACTTGGCCAAGGCGTAGCAATGCCGAATAGTGGGAATGCCAAGGTTAATCCTAAGGCGACGATTTAGTGCGATAATCTCCATTATGATTCTAAAAAAATTAACTTTAGGTTGGGAAGGGATTAAACCCCAATCGCAGAGCACAGCCCTAAGGAGTGGATGAAGTGGGAATCGGACTCCACCCTCTGTGATTGATAGGAGAGGGAAAACAACTGTGGATTCATCAGCCCTCTCCATATCGAGGGTGCCGTCTGTCACGAATGACAGACGGACGTCATCAGGAATGGAAAAATGGCGTCAGAAGCCAGAAATTCGATCCGAATAGAGGAGATCTTTCTGGTGTTTTTCCATTTCCTACAGTGTACACGAATGCTCGAAACCAAAAACAAACTAGGCAAAGAGAACTTAAGAGAGACAAAGAGGATAGTGAAGTTGCAGAGACAATGCAGAAGACAGTCCAGCGGCAAGTATCTGAAAGCGTGTGTATTTGAAAAGACATCAAAATTTTAAACCATAATAAGTAGGAGAGTACGAAGGGGCGGGAAGTTGAAATGATGACCAAAAACCGTGTGTTCAGACGTCAGCCGCCGAATTTCGGCTCTAACTTTTCAAGTTCAAAACCAAACACTCCAATCATCCATCATTAGTGGAATGTTTGGGGGGCAATTGTGGGGGCCGAGTAATGGGGGTCGTAAATAGGCCGAGTATATGAACTTGGGGAACTGGGATGCACGTATAGTATTCGGCTTCATCGCACATCCAAATCATACCCTATTCAGTCAAATAGCCGAATAAGGCAAGGGCCGAGTAAAAAGCAATATACTACAAAGGAAGCCGAATGACGAACAGAAACTGGGCCTAATCCCGAGGCCCAAGAGAGAAAGGATATAATAGAAGAATATCAGCCAGTAAAAGGTATGTGAGAACTATTGTGCTTAACTTAGAATATAAGTAATCTTGAGTGTAGAGACTGACTTGCCCGTCGGAGTGCTAATTCCGGCACCCCCGACCAGAGTGTTTATTCCTTTTCAGGTGACCAGAAGAGGATTGATAGCGTCCCATAGGATCAGAAGAGTATTTCCAAACCACTTCCCCACAATAGCTGAGCCTATTTTAGTTGCATTTTTGTATGTGTTGCATTAGGCCCTTAACATAGTTAGGATCATGCATTGATTTCTAACTAGTTTCTGTTTTGGCTTGGAGTACACTGTAAGTGTTTATGCTTTAGCATCCTTGCATGTGTGTCAGTGACTGCCATGATAGCATGCTTGCCATGAGGCTATTTGCTTAATTGATAAACTGCATGAATGTCTGTGGATGAAGGCTTCATTACTTGAATTGGAACAATTCATCAAAATGTGAGTTTTAAGCCCACTTGGAGTGGCAAATCATCATGCTTTAAGCCCACCTTGTTTGGTGGCAAATCCACATTTCTAAGCCCACTTGAGGGTGGTAAATTCAAACCATTTTCGAAAACAAACATTGAATTGTTTTGTTCCAATTTAGGCGATCTAGTCTATACTTGTATACTGTGCGCATCATGTAGTAAGTTAGCTAAATAACCGGAATAAGAGCACATGTGTTTTCAAAAATAACATATCAGGTTTAGTAGAGGCCGACCTTTGATCGGGCGAGCGGGGGTACTCATTTCAGGACCTTCCCCTCTCGTACCCAAATTTCCAAGCCGAGGCAACTTTGGTGATGACGGACAAGTGGCCTTAGGCACGAGTTAGGGTTTCCTAAATTTTTCAAAAATAAAGTATTTAGGTGGTGACTCTGTAATCTGGCAAAGCAGCCCATGTTTGGTGCTTTTCGATTCAGAATTGATTTTTCAAAACCAATTGCCAGTTTTGGACTTTTTGGTGATTTATCGGTCTTACATTGCACTTTGTGAGATTAGATTCAAAACCGGGACAGAAGTGCGAACTGTAGTAGCTAGAACCCAATTCACGCCCTCTCCGAAAGGGGGGCGCGTGGAGCGAGTTCGGGGCGGTCTACACCATGTTAGGCATCGTTGTCCTCAGCATGGATAGAACCAGTTTCAGTAGTCTAGACCTAGGTAGAGATGTTATTGAAGATTAGTAGAATGCTTTGGTTTCTTTGGCGTTGTAATGTTATGTTACTAAATATGGGGCTCTATGACTGCTGATATTGTATGTATGTACGTTTGTTGCTTAATCCAAGATGTTAGACTTGTGATAGGTTGTGAATTTACGTGGCCTGAGTAGTCGTGTTGAGATTGGTAATTTTCGTACTATTGTGTGTGTGTTATTGTTTCATCAGTGAGTGCATGTTATGATTGGTGGAACTTCGTTTTCTTAAAAATTTGATTGTTAGACAATTGTGTGTCATAATGATTAACTTTAGTAGGTTGGGAATTGAGTTGTATTATTGGAGTGCATGTGATCCGTAACAACACGACTTGTGGGTCTTTGAAGGGGGTGAATGTTTCTTGGTGAAGTGTTGGGGGTATCCCTTGAGGGAGTGTGAAACTTCACTACAAGAAATTACACTTTCCGCGACTAACGTTTTGGTCACGAAAAGTACCATATTTGATCACTAAAATCTTTCCGCGACCAAATTGTGTTGGTCGCGAGTTGGTCACTAAAGCCTCGTCACAGATAGTTTTCTGCGACCAAAGTTATAGTTGGTCGCTAAAAGGGACCATTGGCGACCAAATAATTGGTCGCGGAAAGTCCAATCCACATTAGCCAAAAGGTAACTTTTAGTGACCAAAGTTATAGTTGGTCGCGAAAAGTCAGCGCCTTCACCCAAAGAAAAATATTCTTTTGCGCTGCCTAGGAGTTGAACTCCTGACCAAGGAGTCACTTTCTATGCGCCCAATCCACTCTGCCAATAACATGCTTGTGTTTACATTTTGCAGAGAAAATATATAACCCATAAAAATTGGGTTATATATTATTTCATAAAACCTTCAATGTCTAAACAGAAAAATAGAATATAATTACAGTAGTACCCATTTTTTTTTAATTTATCCCACCATAACTTTCCGTGACCAACTTATTTTTTGGTCGCCAAAAGGTGATCTTCGGCGACCAAATTTGTAGTTGGTCACCAATAGTTAAGTCATTCACGACCAACTTATTTTTTGGTTGTCAAAAGGTGATCTTCCGCAACCAAATTTGTAGTCGGTCGCCAATATTTAAGTCATTCACGACCAACTTATTTTTTGGTCACCAAAAGACGATTTTCTGTGACCAAATTTGTATTTGGTCGCCAAAAATTAGCTATTAGCCACCAAAAAATTGTGGGTGGCGAAAACATACCCATCAGCGACCAAAAAAAATTTTGTCGCAGAAAGTGGACTATTTGAGACCAACTCAAAATAGGTGGTTGCCAAAAGTGTTTTTTCTTGTAATGCTTGCATCTTCAGTGATGAGGTTAATGTTAGTACTAGTAGTTTGGCATGTTTGAGTTGGTGTGATTAGGTGATTGTCTTAAGCCCTATCGGTCATTTTAAGTGAGATGGGAAGTGTTTAATTTCCACTTAGACATGAAGTTTATAGCAAGTTGATTTGGGAACCTGTCGATGTTTGAGTGCGATGTGTTGAGAGTTAATGGTGTTAATTAGTTGGTATTAGGAGATGTTTAAATTTCCATTAAATCTGCTTGTCATAGTGAAATTGACTAGGAAAAATAGGAGTGATATGATTGAGTCTGTAGCAAGAGAAATGTTTGGAGTGAATAATCTTATTGTAAACAGTCTTGAAGAGTTCATCTCGAACTCGAAGGATGTGTGAGAATGTGTGATGAACCCTATATCAAGATGAATGATGTTGGACAAACGTCGGTGTGTGGTGTTAAATATGAACAGGTTATGAGTTGGTTGATTAGTATTAGAAAGAAGGTCAACGTGAAGTCACCTCGGGAATTGTTGTGAACTTGGACAAGAAATTGTGTAGTTAAGAAGTGCTTGGGAATACACTCTAAAGTGTCGAACTTTGCTTGTATGAGTGTGATATTTTGTGTGGGTATGTGTGAAAACCTTTTGAGTCGGATAGGGAGATGGAATCTTGAGCATGATGAGTGTGATGTGATAACTTGTAACTGTTAAAGGATGATAGTGATTGCGATGTCATGAAATTTCAAGAATTTATTAGAGTGCATGTGCAATGTTGTCTCTTAATGCGATGGTTGTTTTGTGAATTGTTGTTGTAATAGAATTTATAATTGAATATTGGCATTCCCCAATAGTAATGGGTGATTTTTGGATGACATTGGGATCACCAATGATAATGTTGAGAAAGGTTATGGAAATGAATTTTCCTGGTGTTGTGG